TTTTTTTAAAGTGATTAGCAATTTATCTATTTATTTATTTTTTTGGCAGAACCAGGGATTGAACTCAGGACCTTGTGCTTGTCAGGAAAGCACTTATTCTACTGAGCCATCACCCTGGCTCCCTGATTACTAATTTCTAATAGTGGGGAGGGGGGGCAGGGGGCTGCCCCTTAGCTCAGTTCTTTAAGTGGCTGCTTCAACAAAGCAGTCAGGCTCAGGTTGCTGTGGTTTGATCCCCACCACTCAAGCCAGCCAAACCTGCCCTGAAGGCATTCGGAGAAAAAAAAAAATAATAAAATCCTTTGGGGCCAGGGAGGTGGCTCAGTAGAATAAGCGCTTGCCTGGCAAGCACAAGGGCCTGAGTTCAACCCCTGGTTCCGCAATAAATAAATAAATAAATAAATAAATAAATAAAGTAAATGAGGCACAGCCCTGTCACAGGCCCTACAGCTCACCAGCCGCCTGTTACCCTGGACTGGAGGGCTAAGCTTGGAAATAGGGCTTTCTAGTAGGCCTGTGGTCCCTGCTGCCCTGAAAAACTGCCCTCCCTGATCAGAAACAGCAGGGGAAGCTATGGGTCTGGGTGTTATCTCGGCACCCACCCAGCCCTGGCAGTTTGTGAGTTCTGCCCTCCTGGAAACCACAGTGAGCGCTCAGAGGGTCCTTGCAGGAGTCTGCACCAAGATCCCAGACAACTGAGAGTTTGTGCAGAGAGGAATTCCTGCTGGTCTTCTAGCAGAATTGTCTAATACTGTTGGTATGGTAACTTAACCGGGCTCCAGCTGGTTGGCTTCTGATATACTGACGGTAACAGCTGGTACATACTGTCCTCCTACCAGATGCTTGCCAGGCGCTGCCCTGGGCATTGGCAGTGGCTCCCTCCTTGACTGCTCTTCAGGTGGGTTCTGTGCTCTCCTTTGTTTTTCTTTCCATGTTGAAATTGAGGGGCTGGTGAGATGGCTCAGTGGTCTGAAGCACCTACTTAGAACAAGCTTAGCAAAGCACAGGGACCACGGTTCAATCCACCAGCACCACATGCCAGCCAGCCCTGCCCTTAATTTTTAAGGCAGGGTTTCACTATGAGGGTATGAGCCCAAGCTAGGCTCAAAATCTCAGTGATCCTCCTGCCTTAGCTTTCTTAGTAGTGCAATCACAGGAGTGCCCACCGGGCATGTGGCTTGCAATTTTATTTTATTTGTATTTTAGGGAAAGGGCTACAGGGTGTTCAGGGTCTCACCACTAGATTGGACTCGTAGTGATTCTCCTGTTTACAGCCTCCCAAGAGCTGGGATTATAGGTGCACGCCACCACGCCCAGTCTCAATTGCTGTCTTACTGAACCAGCATGGCAGGCCCAGGGATCAAACCCCTGGCCCCTACACCTGCTTACAGGTGTTTTAATCTGCTGAGCTATTTGGCAGACCCTTTGAAATTTTATTCTTGAATTGCTTCCTTAGGGCTTTACCAAGTGTCGAAATAATTTTTTTTCCAGTACCAGGAATTGAACTCAGGACCTTGTGCTTGCCACGCAAGCACATATGCCGCTGAGCTATATCCCTGGCCCAAAATACTATTTTTGGTTAATGATGGGAACTAACTCCTTCACCAGCATCAAGAGTCTATGTGGTCAGTAACTTAACTAACCTATTTACATCAGGAGGGAGGCTAAGAAACGATGGCCTCAGGAGATACCACCTGTGCCACCCCAGCAGTTGACATCAGCTTCTTTGGGTGCCAGGGGGTCATGCCAGTTCACCTTTTGATTTTTGTTGTTTATTCTTTTTATTTATTATTTGGTACAGGGTCTTACTACACAGCTGAGACTCATAATAATTCTTCTGTCTCAGTGTCTCCTGTGCTGGGTTACAGGTGTGTGCCATGCCACCAGGTTCTGGTGGCTGGCTCCATGTGGGCCGGCAAGGCATCGGGGATCGAACCTGGGTCCTTGTGCTTTCCAGGCAGGCACTTAGACCGCTGAGCTATCTCTCCAGCCCTGTTTGATTTTTTTTTTTTTTTCCTGGAACCGGGGATTGAACCCAGGCCCTTGCGCTTGCCAGGGAATTACATATTCCACTGACCCATCTCCCCAGCCCAACTGTGAACTTTTTCTTTTTTTGGTGGAACCAGGGATTGAATTTAGGCCCTTGTACTTGCCAGGGAAGTGCTATTCCACTGAGCCATCTCCCTGGCCCCTGTTTGGTTTTTTTTTTTTTTGAGACCAACTCGCCATCTAGTTCAGGAGGAGATTGGCCTTGAGCTCACTTCTTAGCACAGGCTGACCTCAAACTTGCAGAAATCCTCCTAACTCAGCCTCCTGAATGCTGAAATTACAGGCGTACACCATCACGTTGGGCAACTCACCTACTAGAGTACTAGCCCGGCAGACAAAGCAATCCTGAACTTTTGCCTGCCACCCCCGGGTCACACTGGCTGCAGGCAGGAGCCGGAGCCTAACAGAAGGCCCAAGCGGACAGACGCTGTCTCCTAGCAACCCGAGGCGGTCACGTGCTTCTCGGATCACGTGGCCCAGAGCCGAGCCGGGGTTGGAGCTGAGCAGCTGGCGAGGCGGGGCCGGGCAAGTTTGTTCCCCGAGTTTGGAGCCCCGAGGTCCCCGCGGCTGTCGCGCCGGTGCCTTCCGCAGGGGTCGGGATGGAGCTTCCGGCCGTGAACCTCAAGGTGGCCGGGGCGAGGCGGGACGGGTGTCGTGGGGGCAGGGCGCTGAGCACTGGTGCTTGGAAGGAGGGTGGGAGGACGGAGAGTCGGAAAGGGAGGCTCTCCAGGTGAGGATAGGTGTGCGCGGGCCCTGGCGGGCTGGGGACAGGCGGGGCCCAGCAGGGAAGACCGAGAGGGGGTATCGGGGCGACCGCGCAGTGAAAGCCCCCCATCCCCCGAGCTGGGACACCCCAAGACCGCGCTGCCCACAGCCCACCCCTCGAGGCGAGGGGGACCCCTTCCCTCACGTCTCCCCTTCCCGCGGCAGGAGTCCAAGTAGGGTCTGGGCCTCCCTCGAGGGCTTAGAGAGGCTGAGAAAATCACGTGTCTCCAAAGGCTCGATCTCACCAAGTTTACGATTGCGGCGACCTTAGTTCACTATGAAGAAGCGCGAGCTGCGGTGGATGTGTAACTTAAAAGCAGAAAGCCCCCACTTTGTACCCTTGGGCCACGCTGCAGGCTTCCTGGAGCGTCCTCACTTCCTGAGCCCGGCGCCCAGCTCGGGAGCTGTGCTGTTCTTTCTTTTTGCACCCCAGGGGCTGGAAACTTATCTTTGGCGGGGAGGGTGTGGACCTTGGGTTCACTCGACCATTTTGAGTCTTGGCGCAGGCTCCTGGCAGTAAGAGTACCTGGAAAGTGCAAGGTCCTGAGTTCCATCCCCGGTACTGAAAAAAAAAAAAAAGAAAAGACAGGAAGGAAGGAAGGAAGGAAGGAAGGAAGGAAGAGAAAAGAAAAAGAAAACTTCCTGGACTAGCTTCCTGGCGCACCCCTGTTAACCCAGCGCTCTGGGAGCTGAGGCAAGAGGATCACTGAGTTCGAGGCCAGCCTGCACCGCATAGTGAGACCCTGTCTCCAAAAAGAAAGGTCTTGGGCCGGGGAGATGGCTCAGTAGGATAAGCGCTTGACTGGCAAAAAGAAAGGTCTGTCTGCCCTTTTCCTCCTCAACATTTAAAGGAAATCAGCAGACTAATTCTTATTTGAATTACAGCTTGCCCAAGACAAGTTTCCTGTCCTGTCGTAATCACCCCGCACTTGCTGGAACCCGCCTTCCTCAGACGTTGGTCAGCAGCTGTGGGGCGATGACCCAGCCAGGGAAGGGATGTGGTGCTTGCGGACGGCTGGTCCAGGCGTGTGTGCATGCCTGTAATCCCAGTCCTCAGGGAGGCTGGTAGGATTGCAAATTGGATCCCAGTCTGGTCATCGATTTAGGAAGACCCTGTCTCAGAAAGTAAATAACAAACTAGATATACGTAGGAGTGAGCCGAGGAAAGATCACTTCACACTTCAAGGCCACACCCCAGCTACATAATGAGACTATGGGGGTGGGAGAGAATGGGGTGGAAAAGAATATTAAAAAAAAAAAGAAAATGGAGTGGGATATAGCTCAGCCCAGAGACCTTGGGCTCAATCCCCAGCAATACAAAAGAGGGAAAATTAAATTACTGGTTGAGGCAATTCAAGCTTAAGAATAAAAGGTTTTCTGGGCCGGGGAGATAGCTCAGTAGAATAAGCACTTGGCTGGCAAGCACAAGGCCCTGAATTCAATCCCTGGTACTACAACACAAACAAGAATAAAAGGTTTTCTGCCACTAGGGATTTGCCTAAGATAGATGCCAGGAGAGGACCAGGTGAGGGCATGGCTGTGGGCACCAGGAGGGAAGAAGGCACCTGTGTGTGAAGCCAGAGCAGTGTGGGGTCACTGGCTTAGTCACAGCCCCACTGGGAAACCTGACCTTGCCATTTCTTTCCAGAGACCAGGCAAGCAGTTTATGGAGGTCCCCAGGGAGTAAGTGGCAGTCAGGATTTGAAACTGCAGGGATCAGACATGCGTCCTTTGGGATCGGGATTTCCTGGGGACCAGGAGCAGGCGCTGACCCCAGCCTCACCAGCTTCTATGAACTTTTCGTAAGTTCACAGGTGTGAGCTGGGCTCAGAATGATCTCAGGCTGTATACCACCCTGAACACCCCCCATCTCGTCTGATCTCGGAAGCTAAGCAGGGTCGGGCCTGGTTAGTACTTGGATGGGAGAATGATCTCAGGCTGTAAGGTCCTGTGTCCTGGGGTGGTCGGGGAGTCTGAGCCACTGTCAGATGCCTGTGTGCTTGCTGGAGGTTGAGGGGCCAGAGTTGCCAGGTGACACACAGGACCTCCAGTTGAATTTGGACTTCAGGTCTGCAGCAGGCTTTTGTGATGACTCTGGCACTATTGGGGACATGACTGAATGCTGAAATGCAGAATGATCTGAAATTTAGAATTAGCTGTGGATAGAAGGGGCTAGGGAGATAGCTCAGTGGCTTAAGCACCTGCTTCGCAAGTACAGGGTCCTGAGTTTGAGATGGAGCTGCTGACTCTGAGCATGCTTCAGCAGCAGCTGGGTTCTGCACCCAGGGTCCAAGTCTCACCCCCTCACTCCTCCTCTGCCAGTTCTTGGCTAGGTATTTAGTTTTTTGTTTCTTTTTTGTGTGTGTGGAACCGGGGATTGAACTCAGGCCCTTGCACTTGCCAGGGAAGCGCTTATTCCACTGAGCCATCTCCCTGGCCCCATTGGGTAGGTATTTAGGCAAGGGCTGAGTCCCTGCCTTGTCCAGCGGGTAGTGACAGGTGGGGTAGGATAGCTGCTGCCCCAGGCCCTTTGCACAAGGGCCAGAACTTATGTGAGCCTGTCCTGCAGCCAGCCCCAGGGCTGGAGCAATGTGCTGTACTGTGTCTAGGAAGGGCTGGGCTGGGGTTCAGAAGGTCTTGCTGGAGGACATCAAGGCTGTGTAGCATGAGGACAGTGAGGACCAAGTGTCCTGCAGGCCAGCTCCCTGGGGGGTGTGGCATTGAGTGCTTCACACAGCTCTCCACCTGTCTGTCCCCCAGATCCACATGACCCACACGTGAGAAGGGAGTAGGTGTCTCCTTTACAGAAGAGTAGGAGACTTGTCCAAGGTCTCACTAACGGGGGGACGTGGGAGATGTGTAATGCCTAACCTGCTAGATGTCAGAAGTACCAGTGGTGTTCCCCAAAGTCTAAGAATGAATTCTAAGCAATAGCAGGGGTTTAAGCTTAGGAAAATTAAGCTGGGCATGGTGGTGAACACCTGTAATCACATTTCGTGGGAGGCTGAGGTAAGGGAGACCCCTGCAAGTTCGAGAGCAGGTTGGCCTACATAACGAGTTCAAGGCCAGCCTGAACTGCTACCTAGCGAGACCCTGCCTCAAAAGAAGGAAAATTTATTGGAAAATAAAGAGTGGCTCCTGAGAAACAGAAGGACCCCTAGGCCTGCCATACTGGCCCTCTCTTGAGGGCCCGCTGAGACAATTGATACTGGGCGTGGTGGCACCCAGCTCCTGGGAGGCTGTAAACAGGAAGATCACTATGAGTCTGATCTAGTAGTAAGACCCTCAACACCCTGTAGACCCTTCCCTAAAATACAAAAAAAAAAAAAAAGAAGACGGGGTCGCCAACAAGCCCAGTTCTCTGAGAAAGTTTTATAGGGCAAAATTTCAAGGGATGGGCACAACGTGGGTCAAATGAGAATCAATAAGATTACAAGTATAGCCATTTAGCTACCATTGGCCAGCGGTAGCAAGGGCCTGCGGATGAGCTCAGTTAACCTTCGTCGACAATCTGTAGGCTTGGGGCCAGAGAGATGGCCCAGTGGAATAAGGGCTTCCCTGGCAAGGGCAAAGGCCTGAGTTCAATCCCTGCTTCCGCAAAAAAAAAAAAAAAAAAACAACCTGTAGGCTTAGTTTCATTTTCAGTCTTAGCCCAGGAGGTGACCCACTTAGAGTATGGCTCACCCCTGATGAGAGATAGTGGTTTATTTA